TTAGCTTGCATGGTACTAAAGTTTTTTTTCCTTCTAAAAGAAAATTGCTAGGGGCCATTTATTTAGAGCCTTAGAGAAGAGAAATCCACCAAGGTAACCTAGGAGTACTGGACAGAGGTAACTAGCCACAAACCCAGAAACTGGATTGAGATTTGAAACTTGCAAATAATTGAGCCCAAGGCAAAAAATATATTTGGTTCACAAGTAAAAGTATGAGTAATTGTCTAAGTAATTCGTATACAGACCTGATCCAGCATCTTGGGTCAGCTGTCTACTTCAGATGTCATCTTCTTGTCCTGGTCTGGTAGTGTTAATCCTAGTCAAAGTTGGGTATCAGAAATAGGAGTTGCAGTTCATTCAGAAGAATAAAAGTGGCTGTAAAGAATCCTTTATCTGATGTCTTTTCCATTATACATAATCTGCTGGTTGCGAGTCATGGCACTTATCTTCATTCAAAGATAGGTGACTGTGATAAGCTTCAGAACCAAACTTTACATACAATAATATAGCAACAAGGAGCCATCTGAGAAGTGAGTCTTTAGCAGTAACTACAGACCTCAATTAACAAAACTAGAATTAAATATCCACTGAAACATGTGTTTTTCTCTCTAAAATACCCTCATTTCTACCAAATATGGCCAAATTAAGGCTAATTTGTTTGTGAAATAAATCTGCTTTTCATAAATTTGGCCTGATTATCTACAGAAGCGTAACTGATTACATGGGCTTCCTAGGTGGCACTAGTGGTAAAGAACCTCCTGTCAATGCAGAAGATGTAGAAGACTTGGATTTGATCCCTGGGTCGGGAAGATCCCCTGGAGGAGAGCATGGCTACCCACTCCAGTATTCTTACCTAGAGAATCCCATGGACAAAGGAGCCTGGTGGGCTACAATCCATAGGGTCACAAAGAATCAGACACGACTGAAGTGACTCAGCACACATCCACGCTACTGATCTCAAAGGCTCTTTTTCAAGTTGGCTGTGCTGGAACTTTCCATAAGGAATCTCAGATTAAGCTTTTAAAAGGCCTCTCAAAGGCAGGAAAGCCATGCCAAGGCCTTGTCACAGATTCTGCCTGTGGTATTTACAGATTTGGATTCTTCCTCTCATATTCTCCCAAGTACCTTAAGACTTCTGTACCTATTAGGAGGTAGCCTTCCTTACTTGGGCTTCCCTCATATCTCAGTTGGTAAAGAATCTGTCTGCAATGTAGGAGACCCCGGTTCGACTCCTGGGTCAGGAAGATCCGCTGGAGAAGGAATAAGCTACCCACTCCAGTATTCTTGGACTTCCCTTGTGGCTCAGCTGGTAAAGAATCCACCCGCGATGTGGGATACCTGGGTTCGATCCCTGGGTTGGGAAGATCCCCTGGAGAAGAGAAAGGCTACCCACTCCAGTATTCTGGCCTGGAGAATTCCATGGACTGTATAGTCCATGGGGTTGCAAAGAGTCGGACACAACTAGGCCACTTTGACTTTCGTTACTTGCCTGATAAAGTTACTGGCAAACTAAGAAACTAGTTTCTGGAGGGATCAGGTAGAGAGGAAAGATAGATGCTTCATTTCTATTTATAAAGGCATAATTTACCAAATTGCCGCAAGTCATAATTAACTGGAGGGGCAAACCGGAAAGTGACAGCCTGGATTCTGAAGGCTTTGCAGCCCCTGGTTCTGGCCCTTCCAGGTGTCTGCTGGCACCTGTTACTTCCAACCAAAAGCCTTCCCATGTGCAGTCCCAGCACTACTCCTTGGCTCTAGCTAATACCCCTTTGCCCGAAATTCCTCCTATCTTGCACTGCCTCCAACTTGTCTAAGTTCTCTCAGTCTTTCAAGCCTCTGTTCTTATCCTGACGTCTCGGTGACATTTTCCTCTACCAACACAGCTGCTGGAACTCTCCAAACTGTAGCAAGTTTTCTGCCTGCAGCTTCCTTGGTTGGGAGCAGAAACTGTCTGATCGGCCCCTCGATCTTCCTGTCTGTGCCCTTCCTCCCCGCCATCTGGCGTCTGTCTTCTTACAGTTCACTCTCAGTAACTGGGTTATCCGCCAGGGCACAGCAGGCCGAGCCCAAAACCCCGGGGCTGTTCTGAAATGAACGTTTTGTCCGTCCAGTCTGCAGTCTCCGCAGGGGAAGGGAACACCCAGTGAATCATCCGCTGTTTGTTAAAGCAAAGGCATCTTGGGAACTGAGCTCTTTAGCCTCAGTGAAGAGCTTGGAAAGGACTTTAGAGATGGTTTAGAGTCAGTCTAGACAAATCCTCCATTTAATTTTTTTCCTATTTACTTATAATTTAGATACTAGTTTTAGGTGTACAACCAACCCATTTGTTTCTTGATTGATTTATTTTGGCTGTGTAGAGTAGCATGTGGGTTCCTTGACCAGGGATCAAACCCGTGCTCCCTGTGATGGAAGCAGTCTTAACCACTGGACCACCAGGGAAGTCCTCCAACCCCTTCATTTACAGGTGAGAAAAATGACTTAACCAAAGTCAGACAGCTAGCAAGGAGACTGTCTGTCTTCAGAAGCAAAATGCTTAAAAAGTAGGTGTCATGAGCTCAACTCAGCGGTGTTCCTTGTCTGAAAGAGAGGTATCTGCCCTCCACTCCCAACCTCCACCTTTCTGGTTTTGCACAAACCGTTTCTGCTTGTGGCCCTTGCTCCTGACAAACCACACCTTCAGCATACCAGCTCCTGTCATTCAGACCTCAAAGTAGACGTCACCTCCTCTAAGAAGCCTCCTCTGGCCACCAACCCCTCCAAAGCTGGTGCCACTATGTGTAGATTTGCTTATTTTCTTTGCTCTTTTGGCTGCATTGAGTCTTAGTTGCGGCATGCAGGATTCTCTAGTTGTGGTGAGCAGACTTAGTTGCCCTGTGGCATGTGGGATCTCAGTTCCCAGGCCAGGGATCAAATCCTACGTCCCCTGTATTGTAAGGCAGATTCTTAACCACTGGACCACCTGGAAAGTAGTATATTTTATATACTCATGAAGACCTGTCTACTTGCACACATGGCTTTGCATAGAATAGGCACTCAATAAATATCTGGTGAGCAAGGGAAAAAAAAAAAGGACTCCAGCAGCTGCCACTTGCTAGAGTCCATTTATTCAGGTCCTCGATGGAGAACAGAAAGGGAAGGTCAGGGGTTGGGAGCCCAGTCAGCCCACATTTCCCAGCAGCCCCTTCTGATGAGTTTGCAGGAGACTGGACGATCAGATTGAAGCAGCGAGGCAACTGTCCTATAGATCGCTGAGCGCTGACTCCTTGGCAGGGGCAGCCAAAGCCGCTCCCCCCGTCATCCCACCCAGTGAAGTCAGTGGGAGCCACTCCCTGGAACATATAGCCTGGAAGTAGGTTAAGGAGCAATTGCAAAGCTGCGAGGCCCTAGCCCTGCATACACTCACTCTCAGAGGTCATGGGAGTGGGGTGCTTAGCCAGAGAAATTTCTAGTCAATTATGAACCAAACTCCTGGGAACCGGGCAGATGCTGAGCCAAGAGTACAAATCCAGGCCAGACCGGAGGTGGCCAAAAGGAGCTGCCCCAGGCCTGCCAGGGGATGAGGGAGAGCATTTTGTCCTGATTGTAAGTGATACCCTCTCCTCACCCCTTGGCCTCTTTCGTAATAGATTCTGGAGAGGTTGGCAAAGAGGCAGTCAGTGCATCTTACTCAACCCTGGCTGTGGATGCCCCCAGGATCACTCTGGCACCATCTAGGGCCTCTGATATACTATTTTAAACCAAACACCTTTTCAAAAAAACAAAACTGTCCACTTGGACCAGTCGTTTTACTCAAGGGACAGAGGCTGTTATACACAACAGAGGTCTGGTGTCTGGAAAAGCTGGGCATCTTTAGAAGAGCTTGGAATGAAAAAAAATAAAAAGCCCATCCTTCTGAGTGAGGCCAGCCAAGCCAGCTGGAGAAGGCAGCACACTGTGGGGGGTTGCCAAAGGACCAGTGGGCCAGCTTGCCAGACCCTGGGCCAAACCATTGTATAAGCTCCCCAGTATTGGAAGGGATGAAAAAAAAAAAAAATCAGGACATGTTTTCAGCTTTGTTCAGGGGCCCAGAACATGCTTTCAACTCCAGGAATCTCTGCTCTTCTCTGCAAATGGAAAATATGACCCATGAGAACAAACTTGACCACTAGAATATGTGCCTAGTCACCCAGCCCTGTAACTTGTGGTTAGGCGGCTCTATGCCTCACGCCACCTTGTGACCATTTTCCAGAGACCCCTCTGTCCCTCTGAGCAGTTAGCTCACTTTAATGGTTTAAAGACAGGTCAGTGACCTCAAAATCAAGTACAAAATGTGCATTTATTGACATCTGTTCTGGGCCACACTGGGCTTCTAGCAAGAACAATATAAAAAGAAACAATATAGTTAGCAACGGAGTGCAGTTGTGGATACCAGGTGATGTTTTTCCCAGATTTGGCAGAGGAAATATGATTACCTTATATTCAACAGTGTAACACTGAACATGCACTGGAGTTCCAGATTCAGCAAAGAAATGTTGGTAACATTTCAAATAACAATATAGTTTATTTCTCTATTTCACCACCTTTTATATGTATGAACTGTGATGCAGGCCTTGCTTACATCCTATGGAGCCAGGCCAAGAAATATGCTTTATATTGGTTATTTGACCTTCAACATCCGACTATCATTAGAGGTGGGCAAAACCATGCAAAAAAGAAAATGAAAGACATTTCCAGGTAGGGCACTAAATGAAGAATGCTTGAAGCCACAGAGTTTGCCCATGGCCAATTTCTTGTGTTTCTTGTAGAGAGAGAACAGGACAGTGGGGCTTTATTCTGACATTTCAGGGGCTTCATGCCAATCAGGGTCACGAGACAAAGACAATAAGTAAGTGAAGGAATGAAGAACCAAACACACAAGTTGCACCAGAACAGATGGGCTTAAATTAACCGAGTGACAGTTTGGGCATCAGTCCCACACGACTGTCACGTGAGATGGCAGGAGAAGGGAAGTATTACAAGCCTCAGTCGCTCAGAGGCTGCTGAGCAGCCCCAGGAAACCTCAGAGAGGCCACCCCTCCACGCTGGCTACCCTGGCTTGCCCGCTGCCTCCTTGAGGGCACTCTTCCCCTGATACTGCTTGCAGGGGAGGGCTGGGCCGGGGTGCTCTGGAGGTACTGGAAGGCACTCTGACGGCCCACCTGCCTCTCTACGCAGTTAAAGGTGAGGGCCACTCCCACATTGGCCTTCATGACTCTGGAGGAGCCATCGGATGTGCCATCAAAGCACCGGCCGAGCGCAATCTCCTTGGCCGTGCGAGGGTCCTGGTCAGTGACAGTGTAGATGCCATAGTTGTGGCCCAGTGGGTCCAAGGGCGCCAGCATGGTGTATGCGCTGGTGTCGTTGTTGACCGCCAGCGGTAGGTGGTTGACCAGGTACTCATGCAGCATAGAGTTTACACTGGCTCGTTGGCAGCTGCCCTGGGGGATGACCTTCACCAGCGTGCGGTCCACACGGTCCTGGTCGTAGAGCATCCCGCTGCACTTGAACTCCAAGCAGGCAGAGGAGACGTTGGGCTGGTCCCTGTCCCGTGTGCTCCTCACATCCCGGATTCCATACAGCTTCCCCACTGTCCGCCGGTGGGTGCCCCCCATGTTACGGGACCGCACGTTTATCTCCGGCAGCCCCACAATCCTCACCTTGATGTAGCAAGCCCTGAACTCCATTGGCTTGGGCCACCAGGCCAAGTAGTCTTCAGTCCAGCTCATGGGGTCGTCGTCGTTGAAAGGGACTGTGTTGTAGTCGTACCGATCCCCCTCGATCTGGTAGAACCGGAAATGGGCCGCACTGGGTGGTGCATCCTCACATGCCTGGAGGTTCTCAAATGCATAGATGGGCCCATTGCCCTCCTCAGCCGAGTTGGGCCTTGGCTTGGCCATGCTGATCTGGAAAGCCGTCTTCTTGACCCGTGGGTCCTCGTGGTCTGTCCGGCGGTACTTGAGCTTGTTGAGGTAGGGCTGAGGGACACCGATTGCATTTGGGTTGAATTTGGGAGAAGACTCCACTGCTTCCAGTTCTTCCCCGGCCAGGCTGGCCAAGACGTAGGCAGAGTAAGCATCGGGGGACTGGTCGTCACAGAAGGCAGGCAGGCAGGCCCCATTGGGGCCCGTGAGGACACTGTCAAAGCGGCCCCAGGCCCTGGGGTTGGAGGAGAAGCCAGTCCTGGGCTCCAGGTTGATCACAGAGACCACGACCCCCTGGATCTGCTCACTGGGCAAGAACCTCTCACTCCGGTAGGCCCTCACCTTGATGAAGCACCTCCTGCTTTCCGGGACATCCAGGTTAAAAAGCCTCCTCTCACGGATCTCCATGTTGCCCACCAGGAAGGTCCTGTCTTCCCTTCTGTTCCGCCTTTGGCTTTCAGGTTTGAAGTCACCTTCCTCCTCCCACAGCCCTGTGTCTGGGTTGAGTGACCAGAGTTTCATCATGGACACATGCTCTGGCATCTTGACCTGGGTTGAGTCAAGATGAACCTTCACCTTGCCAACATTAAGGGACTCTGAGGTGGCTTCATCTCTAAAGTCCACAGAGAACATGCCATATGTCCGAAGAGGGAAAGTGTCTCCTTCATCATTGATGAAGTTCAGGTCACTCTGGGCAGCAGTAGCTGTGGAAATATTCCGGGGATCCAGGAAGGTCACACTGGCCTTTACTTTTCCCAGGTAGGGCTCCCCGTTCTGCCGGTAGAAACTCTTGGATGGGATCTCCAGCTCAGCCACAGGGTCTTCACCAGCCATGTCCCCCAAGGGGATAATGTTGGTCTCCGTGGCCTCCAAGGTGATGGGCTCTTTCCGCCGAAGCATCTTGATCTCATGGAACACAGCACTCCCCTTCTTATTGAAGGGCAGCACTTTGGTGGTGTTGACGAACTTCTGCATCCTGTCCACAAATGTGAGCACCAGCCTCTCTGTGTCCTGAGGGACGTGGAGAGTGAACGTGCCCTTGTAGCCCGTCATGCTCACACGAGTGTTCCCCATGTACACGTGGCCGAAGCGCAGGGGTTCCCCGTTGTCGGCTGCGCTGACTCGGCCCCGCACGATTCTCCGAGTCTCCGTACACCGCTGGCAGCTGCACTTGGTGGCCACCTTGGTGGGCAGCGTGTACCCGCTACACTGGATCTCCCTCTCCTCTGTTTTGGAGATCCCACAGCAGTGCTCCACAGCATCTCGGCACCTGATCCCATTATCCTGCTGCCCTGCACAGGTCTTGACAGGGCAACGACCCACATCATAGTAGAAGGAGTTGGTGGCATTCTGGAAACAGTCATGGGGCAGCCGGATAAGGTAGCTCTCAGGGGTTGGGTTGCAAGGAATCTCATCAGGGGCTATGGAGGGAAATAGTTCAGACATTAAATGCAAGTCCTTTTCCTATACGAAGCGCATCTCAACCTCACCTTTCTGACCTCAGGTTTTCAAAGCACTGGCATGGTACCAACTCTCACAGAACTCCTCTGAGGGAGAATGGATAGCCATTACTAATTCCATTTTATCCTTGGAGAAACAAGAGTTCCTTGCAGAAACCACTACAGTAATGGTTCTCATTGGAGGGATCTTGAAAATTTGTGAGGGTATTCTGAATTACCACCAAAACTGGGAGTGCTACTGGCTTATCATGGGCGGGGCAGGCTTGTAGCTCTGTTTTCTGCAGTGCCTGGCACTGTGTGGCATAAAGAATTTTACTGCATTCTGCTTTCACATATTCTATAGACATTCATGTATATGGAAAGCATGTTTAAATGATCAGAACCTGGTATTTTATACATGGTTTTACCATGCATTGAGTTTTTGAAGGATGCAACTACCATATAAATCGAGCCAAGATTGTACTTTGTTTAGCTTGGTAAAATACAAAGAACTGCTTCTTGTCTCAGAAAAATCACCTCCCCACAACTGCCCAAGGAATGTGAAACAATGCCCCGCTACATGTCAGTATTTGTTGTTGTCACATTCATGGTGACTGGATTCAAGTTCAAGTGTCTGACTTCCTGGTGGGTGTTCTTGTGTCGTGAACACTTACATATTTAAACACATATGATTTTGCATTAAAATTATTTTTTTATATTTCTGTTTTATGTCATTAGGAAGCATTTCCATATAGAGATCTTAAAATCACATGTAGTTATTATCTATAAATTTAACTTCAGAATAGTAAACTACTTTTTAGTTTAAAATATTAAACATGTGAAGTATTAAGAATAACTGTGACAAGCAGGGAGCGCTGGTATAATGAGCTGGGAACCACGGTTGACAGGGTTCCCTCATCCGCCAAGGTCCAAGTGCCCTGTGTCCTGTCTGTCCTCAGCTGTGTTGCTCACTGGAGTCTGTGAAATATTCCAGACTCCTCCCAACAAATTTCCTCCTGCCTTTTGTTTGGTTTTGTTTAGGCCAATTACTAAGATATCCTCCTTCCCCCTCACTTTGCAAGTACAGGTTCCTGACTGGTCTCAGCCTCCAGTCTCCCCTCCTCCAGCTCACTTCTAGAAGCCAGCTTTAATCAGGTCACCCTTTCTTGTAAAGCCCCCTCAGTTGCCCACTTCTCTAACTTTGCTCACGCTGGCCCTTGATCTGGAACTCCCCCACCTCCATACACACAGACCCTGGTCATTGTTTAACATCAGGGGTTCACAATACTGGCCACGAATTAGAATTCCTGGGGAGAGCTTTTAACCTGAGTGTTCCCAGGCCACATTCCAAAGCAATAAAATCAAGCTCCCTGGAGGTAAAACCCAGGCAACAATATTTTTTAAAAACTCACAGGTGGACCTACTGTATAACACAGGAAACTCTGCTCCACGTTATGTGGCAGCCGGGATGGGAAGGGAGTTTAAGGGAGAATGGATAAATGTACACATGGCTGAGTCCCTCCACTCTTTACCTGAAACTACCACAACGTTGTTAATCAGTTATTTGTGCACACATGCTAAGTCACTTCAGTCGTGTCTGACTCATTGTGACCCTGTGGACTGTAGCCCACCAGGCTCCTCTGTCCTTGAGATTCTCCAGGCAAGAATACTGGGTGGGTTGCCAAGCCCTCCTGCATGGGTTCTTCCCGACCCAGGGATCAAAACTGCATCTCCTGAAACTCCTGCATTGCAGGCAGATTCTTTACCATTGAGCCACCAGGGAAGCCCTAATCGGCTATACCCCAATACAAAATTAAAAGTTAAAAAAACAAAGCAAAACAATGCAATAGTTGATCCCAGTGGGTGACCAAAGCTAAAAACCACTGTTTAAGCCTCCAGCAACCAGCCACAACAGTCCTTCCCACCTGGAAGTTCTCCGTTTCTCATCTGTAATATCTGCAACTCCTTATCTCCTGTTTCAGCTGCATTTTTTCTCTCTCTACTGACTTGTCTCTTATTTCTCCACCCCTCCTGGAGTGGCAGATCTGTGAGGGTAGGACCCAGGTCTGTGCCGTCTTTGTGTCCCGGAAAGCACAGCACTGCGCACAGCCCAGGACAGCCCACATTTTGACTGTTCGGTTATGCCCGCTGTGGCAGGGGTTCTCCAGGGACCCTGCCAGGCTTACCTATGACAGTCAGCTGGGCGATGCGGGACTTTGCAGCCCCAGCATCGCTCTGGGCCTTGCAGAAGTACTCCCCGGTCTGGTCCCGCTGCAGATTCCTCAGCACCAGTTTGCTGTCATGCTTGTAGAGGTAGGGGTCCAACAGTGTGTTGTTATGGTACCTGCAAGGGATGGAGAGGGACAGCCTGAGGGGGCAGTGGAAGGGCTGGTATCCTCAAGGACAGTGTCAGGAGCCAGGCAGATGACGGACAGGTCCCTGCAGATGCCAACTCTGCAACTGACTTGGCTCATTCAAGAACACTGACTGGCCTGGGAGTCAGGGGACTTGCTTCTCAGTCTCAGTCCCACTGCTGGCTGGCTATGGACCCTTGGATGAATCCTTTCACCTCTGAGCTTCAACTTCCTGTTCCATTCATATGAAATAGATGCCATGATTCCTAGCTGATTCGTAGAATTATTGCTGCTGCTGCTGCTGTTAAGTCGCTTCAGTCGTGTCCGACTCTGTGCGACCCCATAGACTGCAGCCCACCAGCCTCCCCCGTCCCTGGGATTCTCCAGGCAAAAGTACTGGAGTGGGGTGCCATTGCCTTTTGCAATGCATGAAAGTGAAAAGTGAAAGTGAAGTCGCTCAGTCGTGTCCGACTCTTAGCGACCCCATGGACTGCAGCCTACCAGGCTCCTCCATCCATGGGATTTTCCAGGCAAAAGTACTGGAGTGGGGTGCCATTGCCTTCTCTGATAGAATCGTTGAGAGGGTCAAATAAGATAATGGCTGTAAAATGTTTGTGAAGTGTAAAGGACAGCCACTGGGGACTCTAACCTTGTTTGCCTTTGGGAAATTAGGACTGGGAAACCTGGTTCTGTGTCCCAAGGATATAGAGTCAGGACCCTAAGACCACAGCAGCTCTGTAGGGACCCCAGCTTCAATAGGACAACAGGGCTTGCTGGTTGTCTGAGTGCCCTCGACCCTATTGGCCCCAACTTAAAAAAAATTTTTTTTTAATTTTTTTTATTTTTGGCTGAACCACGCTGCATATTAGAATCTTAGTTCCCTGACAAGGGATCAAAAACTACACCCTTTGCAGTCTTAACCACTGCACCACCAGAGAAGTCCCCAACTGGCCCCCACTTTTAAGTGTCCATTCCCTGATGATGGACCAGGGCTTTGTGTATGTGGGTGCATGCGCACATGCACATGCTCAGTCATGTCCGACTCTTTGTGACCGCATGGACTGTAGCCTTCCAGGCTCTTCTGTCCATGGAATTTTCCAAGCAAGAATCCTGGAGTGCGTTGCCATCTCCTACTCCAGGGGATCTTCCTGGCCCAGGGATCAAACCCACATCTCTTGCATTTCCTGCACTGGCAACAGGCTCTTCACCACTGCAATGCCTGGGAAGCCACACCAGAGCCTTCCTTGTAGCTTTATTCTGCTGGTCATTGTCATGATTGACAACTCCAGACCCAGTGCAAGACAGCTCTGGTGTTCCAAAAGGAGAATCAGGCCAGATACCTGGCAGCATACTCACCAGAAATACTTGTCTGGTTTGGGCTTCCCTGTGGCCTTACAGCATAGGGACACGCTCTGCCCAGCTCTTCGCGCTTTCGTCTCAGGGTTCATCACAATGTACGGCGTTTCTGCGACAGGGATGAGAAAGGGTGTCTGGGGTTTTTCTTTGTGACAGGTTCTCCAGGGCCTTGCTCCCTTAGGTATTTTGACATGTGTTTAAATTGTACAATTTCACACATACACCCTAGCCCGCTTTTAATTGTCCTAACAGAGTCCATTCCCTCCCTCCACTCAGATGGGACCCGCTCCCATAGCCTCTTGGGCAGTATCTGGGTGAGGCAGTGGCGAGCCAAGGGGACTCTGTACCAGGCAAGATTCCCAAGCATTGCCCTTGAGACAGAGCTGGCTGTTGCGAATAGTGCAGTACCTTCTCTTCTGATTCCAGCAGAATTTTCTGGCCATTCTGCACTGTTTCTGAATTTCCCCAGCCTCTCTCTCTACGACCTCCAAGCCTCACACTATACTGTCATTGACTCTTTTAGATAAGTTGGCAGGAAAGAACTTATACATCTGAGGGAGCAAGCCATGCCACTATCTGGGGGAAGAATTCTCCAAGCAGAGTATATAGCAAGTGCAAAGGCCCTGAGGCAGGTGTGCACCTATGTAGTTGAGGAATAGATAGGAAGCCTTTGTAACTGTAGTAGAGTGACTCAGTGCAGGTGGTGGGGACTGTAATAGGAGAGGAGAGAAGAGGAGAGAAGGTAAGTAATGGATGGGGGGTGGGGAGCCAGATGATGTTGGAACTTGTGGATTTTTTGCTTTTACTCTGGGAAAGCTGGGAAGCCAGCTCTGAGTACTAGAATCCTTGTATTTAAAAGTCCAGCCTTCCTCCCCAGCCCGACCCCAGAGAACTTCAGTACCTGCCCTCACGAGCTCCGCCCTGATGGTGGCTGCCTTCAGTCTAGTCTTAGGCACCGTGAGGTGGATAGGCACAAACTTGGTCTTTGTGATCTTCAGGATGCTTTTGCCGTCGGGGCACAACCCAGGGACTCGGAACCTCCCACTGCTGTCCGTCTGGGTCAGTAGCTTAGGTGTCTTGCTCAGGAGGTAGACAGCAGCCCCTGAGGCTGGGGCACCCCCAGGGAGGGAGACAGCCCCATAGAGCACGAAGTCCTGACACATGCACGCGTCACACTCAGCATTCGGCTTGCCCATGGGGCAGGTAAGGTCACACGCTGTGGAAAAAGAGGCCACATCAGGAGGGCATGTATGGATTCTGGCCCTCCTCCAGCCATGTCCCACCTGCGGAGTCTCATACGCTCCCTCTCATCCTTAGGCCTTTGTTACCCTCCCTCAGCAGCCTGTGTAACTAATTCCTACTCATCCTTCAAGACTTAGCTCAGGACACCTCCTCTAGGAAGACGGAACTGAGTCCCATAAGTGACGATGATTGATCGTGCTCCCACATTATCCCCTAAGTCCCCCATCAGTGCACAGAATTACTTGATGCATGGATGAGTGAATGAATGAAGCTGTCTCAGTCTGATCCTCTAGCCTCTTCTAGGCTATTTCAGCCCCAGCCCCATGCCCTGTCTGGTACCAGGAGCAGGGGCGTACCTGAACAGGCCTGTTCCATGCAATGCCGGCCCTCCTCCGTGGCCTCACTGCACAGCGACACCGTCTCCGCCAAGCAGGTGCGTGACCGGGTCTGGACCCCAGGGTGACCACAAGCAGCAGAACACTTGCTCCAGGGAGACCACGGACTCCAGAGGCTGCGCTCCGTGTCTCGGCGCAAGGATCCTACAAAGAAGACCAGCAGGCGGTCTGACTTCCCTCCAAGGGGACTCCATCAGGATGCCTGACCCTGAGGCTGCTTTTTCTCAGAGATCCATGCCTCCATTTACATCCTAGATGTCTTTGATATTTATATTTCCTGCAAGGATTTTCCCAACAGATGGACACAAGAGACTTGAGGAAGTGATGTCTCTTGATTTTCACAATGACACCACCAAATGGGCTATAAGTGCCCCTGAGAGGGACTTACTGGCCAAGTGCTGGGACTTTGATGTGCTGTCCTTGCATGTGGAGGACAGCACCATCTTTACTCTCTCCCAGTGTGAAAACAGCCCCTGCTCCTGCAGAAGGGGCCCTGGGAAATCAAGACCTGGGGCCTCAGCAACATCGAGGCCCCTCTGCCTACACTCCTCATCCTTGATCTGAGGCCTGTGTGCAAGAAAACGGGGACCTCGAACCTCACCCTGAGACATTGCCCAGCCTGGGTTCCTGATCCAGATGACTGCCACTGCCACCTGAGCCTGCAGGGTCAGGCCGTGTGCAGTGGCGAAACCCCAGAAGGCAGGATGCACAGTCAGTAATGGACAGGCCTGCAGCTGGCTCTGAATTACCCAGTATGGGGAGAGAGGACAGAAAGAGCATGAACTCTTGAACTCTGCAAACACAGGCCTGGGTTTAAATCCCAGCATTCCACTGACCAGCTGTGTCATTCCAAGAAGTTCCCTAACCTCTCTGAACCTGGAATAACTTGTCAAAATAGAGATTCCTCACAGTCAGTTGTAAGTTGAGTAATGGAGATAACTAGCAGCGTCTGGCACAGAGGAACTAAAACAGAAATGAAAACTTAGTGGGCGCTCACCTGCGTTAAGCCCTCTGCATTTATTATTTAATTTAATCCTCATAAAAACCACCGTAAAGTGAAAACGTTAGTCGCTCAGTCACGTCCAACTCTTTGCGACCCCATGGACTGTAGCCCACCAGGCTCCTCTGTCCATGGAGTTCTCCAGGCGAGAATACTGCCATTCCCTTCTCCAGGGGATCTTCCTGACCCAGGGATTGAACACAGGTCTCCTGAATTACAGGCAGATTCTTTACCATCTGAGCCACCAGGGAAGCCCCAAACCCCCCATGAGGGTATATTAATACCTCTCTTCCACATGTGAGAAACCTGAAGCTCAGAGAGTTTCAGAAAATCTGCCTAAGGAGCACAGTAGAGACAGTGGGCCCAGATTCAAAGCAGTCCAACTCCAGAGCCTGTGGTCTTCCCCATCAGTAAAATGGATTGAAAGGAAACTATCCATCAACACAGAACACTGTTGGGAACACTATGGCTCTCATGGAACTAACGGGTTATTATGGAGTGTGTATATATATGGAGTGTGTGTATCGCACACACATGTATGTGTGCAATATACAGAGTTTCCATGGCCAGATGCAGGCCCTGGCCTCCCCCTGTGGGGAGGCTGGCGAGAAGTAGGGAGTGGGGGCTGGCCAGGCTCACCTGGAGGGCAGAGGAAGCGCACAGTGTAATTAGAGCAGTTCTGGCCGGGTCGCTGCTCCCTGTTGAGGCACCAGAAGCCCTCAAGGGGGCTGCCATGGACCACTTGGCCAGTGCTGCCTGCAGGTGTCCAGCTGGTGGTTCGAGCCTCTAGCCGCAGGGGCCGAGCACACACCCGGTCCCCATAGTAGAACTGAATGGCATCCAGCCGTTCGTAGTCACCCTGCCCACCCGGGTGGTCAATGTTGAACCAGGTCGTCCACTCCCCAGGACCTGAGAGAGAGCCAGAGAGAGCCAGGTGGGAGCCAACCGGGCCCAGAGCCCCTGGTGAGCTCAACCCCTGGGAGTCATCCCCGCTACCCTCACCTGCCCCTCACTGGTCTCAGGCCCCATCACATCTCTCTGTGCAGCGTTTCTAGAATCTCTTACCCTTCTGCACACCCTGCTGCCAAAGATTCTCAGCAGCCTGGCTATACCATGTCAGTAACTTCCTGCCTGGTGTCTACCTCCAGCTTCCCCAAACCATCCCCACTCCTCTCCAATACTACAGTCAGGGTGAGCTTTCTCCATGCAGCTGGGGCCACATCACTCCCACCTTTAACTCCCTTAGCCAGGTATTTAGGTGCTGACGAGCTGGTACCTCCACCCTCCTCTCTCTGCTCTCTTCTTGCCGGCTTGTGTGCGCTCTGGCCCCAGCAAGCCCTGCAGCATTCCTGGGATCTATCAGGCAGCTTCATGCTTCTGAGCTGTCCTATATACTTGGTCCCTCTGCCTGGACAGAGATGTTGGCCAAATACCTTTTTTTTTTTTAAGTTCCCTGACCAGGGATTGAACCCAGACTCCCTGCAGGGGAAGCACTGAGTCTTAACCACTGGATGCCAGGGAAGTCCTCAAATGCCTTTTAAAAGTAGATTTCTATGGACGTTCCCAAACGGCTCAGTGGGTAAAAGAATCTGCCTGCAATGCAGGAGATGTGGGTTCAATCCCTGAGTCAGGAAGATCCCCTGGAGAAGGGAATGGCAATCCACTCTGGTATTCTTGCCTGAAAAATCCCATGAACAAAGGAGCCTGGCAGGCTACAGTCCAAAGGATTGCAAAGAGTTGGACACAACTGAGCAAAGCATTTTGTCTATGGAACCCTGACATTGTCCCCCCGACTGCAGAGATTCTCTTAGCAAGCTCAGTAAAGAGCAACCCCCTCACCCCCATGCTCCCTGCTCCAGCCACAACTCACTGTCCAGGAGGTTAGCAGGCTTGGCAAAGACACCTGAGGTCCTCTTCCCAGGCTGGACTCTTCTTACTGACTGGGTGAGCATCATCTGCCTCCCTGAGGGCCAGGAGGAGAAGTGAGAAGTCACGAAAGTTGCAGGGGTCCATCAGGGCGCTGCTACTAGCCTCTCAGGACGCAGCGAAGCAGCGCGACGTGGGGGATGCAACGCGAGTGCTGGGCGTGGGTTCAGAGCCTCGCTCTGCCATTGACTGGCTGTATGGGGGATGCAACGCGAGTGCTGGGCGTGGGTTCAGAGCCTCGCTCTACCATTGACTGGCTGTATGGCCTCAAAAGCTTTATGCTTTTAAATTTGTTTCCTCATAAAATAGAGCTTTACCCTGTTTACAATAGCTAGGACATGGAAGCAACCTAGATGTCCATCGGCAGGTGAATGGATAAGGAAGTTGTGGTGCATATACACAGTGGAATATTACTCAGCTCCAAAAAAGAATGCATTTGAGTTAGTTCTAATGAGATGGATGAAACTGTAAACTATTATACACAGTGAAGTAAGTCAGAAAGAGAAACACCAATACAGTGTATTAACACATATAAACATGGAATTAAGAAGAGTAATGACCGACCATATAAGTAAGACAGCAAAAGAGACACAGATGTAAAGAGCAGACTTTTGGGCTATGTGAGAGAAGGCAAGGGTGGGATGATTTGAGAGAATAGCATTGAAACATGTATATTATCATATGTAAAATAAATGACCAGTGCAAGTTCAATGAATGAAGCAGGGCACTCAAAGCCAGTGACAACCCAGAGGGATGGGGTGGGATAGGGTGGGGAAGGAAGAAGGAGGGGAGTTCACAATGGGGAGACACATGTACATCCATGGCTGATTCATGTCAATGTATGGCAAAAAGCCATATTGTAAAGTAATTAGCCTCCAATTAAAATAAATTATTATTTTTTGTAAATAGAGCTGCGCCAACAATCACTGCATCACAGGGTCATGGTGCCTTTTCAAGGTGATGGTGAAGCTAAAGAGACCTGGCATGCAGTGCATGTTCAAACCAGTGTGGTTCTCTTCTCCCGTTTGTTCTAGAAAATGGACCATGGGATGCTGCAAGGCAGCCAGAGCTCCTCCTGTAGGATCTGAGCCCATCCTTCTTGGCAGAATGGAACCTTACTTTCCTCATCTTGTAAAACAGAGATATTAGTTTCCACTGCACATGTGGTGGTCCAGTTGGCATGAGGATTCCATAAGGAAACACAAAGTCTCTGAAGTACACGGCAAGTGAGACTGTGAGCCCCAGACACGGCCACTTCCTGACTGTGTGACCTTGGGCCAGGTACTTAACTCATCTGACCCCTCATCATAAAGTAAGGATAATAATAGTCCCCATCTCGGATGATTATAGGGATTAAATATGCTTCTTCATAAAATCCACTTAGAACAATGCCTAGCACAGAATGTTTGCTGAATAAAGTATTAGCAACTCCATTTAGCTCAAGACCTAGACAACAGATGTCCATTTCCCTTCTCCTGGCAAAGTTTGACTTTGGGAATCCACCCTCACCCTCATAGGATCTGGCTGGAGGAGTGGACCTTTTTTTGGCCACACCATGCAGCCTGTGGGAGCTTAGTTCCCCAGTCAGGGACTCAGTCAGTGCCTCTGCACAGGAAGTATGATGTCTTAACCACTGGCCACCAGGGAAGTCCCAGTCCTTTAGTTTTCTGACCGCAGCTGGCAAAGTCTCCCTGAGGAAGGGTATGGGACCTCTGAGCCACAGGCAGCGAGCCTCCAGGCCCGACCCACCTGAGGCTGAGTTGGAGGCTCCAAAACAGAAAGGTGAGAGAACAGCAGAGGCCTGCAAAAGCTTCACAAGGCAATTCACTCTCATGAGAGAGTCAAATTAGTATTCTCTTTGCTGCTTAACTGGCGGTGATGGTAGCTCTTTTAATCAAACTAATCTGATTTCTAATCTGATTTCCCTTCAGATTGCTGAATGTCAATCATCTTCATCACCAACAGCTGTCAGGATAGAAAGAGCAAGGCAGGAGGTGGGCACATAGAGGGTTTAGCAAGATGCTCAGACAGCCCTTGTTCCTGCATCTGCAGTCACAGAGCTTGCAGTGCTCATAGCTCTAAGGAGAATTCTGAGCGTTTTTTGCTTTACCTGAGTATGTGGCTAGAAATCAGAAAAAGAAAGGGAGGTGGGAGAGAGTATGCAGCCTGGTGCTGTGAGCTCTGATGCTCAGATGCCTTGGGGAGCCCACCGGGCAAATTCTCTCCACCTGCTCCCTGGCAAACTCGCAGTCGCCAGAGAATGGGGTCCAAGGACAAGGAGACCAGAAGGGGTTCTAGTGTCTCTGTGAAATTTGGCTACAGGGTCTAAATGAATTTTCATGAAACTAAAATCAGATCTCACCCTAAATCCGGATGTGAGAACTCGGGGATTCCTTTTGCTTTGGCTATCAGGAAGCTCAGAGCTAAATTTAGCACTCAGGGGGCAGTGGTGACCCTCTTTATCTTTTATCCTCCTTCTGAATAACATCTTATCCCTCTCCTCATTTAAAAGATTCTGTGAGTTTTAACATTGGGACCTCTCTCAAACCCTTTAGGAAAACAAGCAGGGTATAAACTATGAATAAATAGATAAACCAGCCTCGGGTCTTAGTGCCACGGCTATAGTTTAAGGCAGGTGCAGAGCTGGGTCCCAGACCAAATGTGACTTCCCTATGGCAAGCAGCAGCTTAGAGAGACAGGAGATACTTAGCCTGTACCCAGTGCTGAGGTGATCTCCAAAACTAGAAGGAAGAACATGCAGGCCTTGGTCCCTGCCATCTTTCCCCTGGTTCTGTGGGGAACGTGGCAGGAGCTGAGTGAGGGTTCCTTCAGAGTTGGAGTCCCTGGAATGCAATCCCTGAGAAGTTTCTCAGATCAGTGACCTGCAAAGAAACAAAACTTATCAGGTTCCATATCTCTGAGTTGATTCTGAGGTTTTGAGCAGAACTATTTCTTTTCTTTCTTTTAAAAAATTTTTTATTCATTTATTTTTTTGGCTGCACCTTGCCACATGTGGGGTCTTAGTAACCCAACCAGGGATTGAACCCACACCCCCTGCATTGGAAGTATGGAATCTTCACCACTGGACTGCCAGGGAAGTCCCCAGAACTATTTCTTGACCTATCAAAGGTGAAAGGTGGACAGAATGAAGTCTTGTGAGGATGATACCTGCCCACATTGCAAATCTGGGCAGCTTGGGAGAGGCAGAGAGTCAGAATCTCATTCACATGAGGCAGACCTGAATTCAAACCCCAGGTGGTGCTAGGATCCCACCTCGAGATGGGACATAAGGGACAGTTGGGGTGAGATGTTTCCTTGCCAGTGAGGGAGTGCCTGGGCTCACCCCCAGCATCCTCTGGGTGACTCACTTCCAAGACCCAGGCCTGGGGACCTGTTTTGCTGCCCTTGGTGGGACTCACGTTCCTGCACAACAGGGCTACATATGAAGGCTGGGCAGCCCCTGCCCCACCACAGCAGCCTCTCACAGGACCGGCAAGCTGGAGGGTGCATATGCTTCAGACACACCAGCTCCATGAACACATTCCCAGATGCGCACAGGCTGCAGATGGAACACATTTCTGGCCTGCCTAGGAGTCACACAGCCAGGAGCCTGCTGGAGGAGAGCAGAGGGGACCCACAGGGAGAGGCCAGGGCCCCCCAGTAACTGCTGAGTGGGGGTTAGGGGCTGCAGGGACAGGAAGAGGAGCTCCCCTGTTCTCCAAGAGGCCTGGTAGTAGGGCCAGGACCCAGGCTCCCGCTCAATTTTCTCTCTCCCCAGACCTCTGGCCAACCCAGATTCTGGCCAGTGCCTGGAAATTCAAGAGGGATTCACTTCAACCTCCGAAGTCCAGGGTGTGGTGAGAAAAGGGAGAGTCCTCCTCTCTGGAAAAAAAGATTCAAAAGCATTTAGTTGTCCCAGAAGAAGAACAGACCAAGCCCTCGCTGAAGACCATCCAGCTCTAAGGCCGCTAACTCCGCTACCTGTCTCTCAGCCCCGAGAATGGAGTGCAGGGTCTCCAGGGTCTCCAGCTCTTGTGGGCCTCACCCCCAGCTCCCAGGCTCTGAGCCGAGGGCCGAGCGCTCCCCAGGGCCTGCACGGCCCTCAGTCTGGGACTGCTCTGGGACTGTCTGGAGCCAAAGTGGCTTGAGGCACCTTGTGGAAAAACCATTTCCCATCTGGCAGCCCACAGAAATTTCCTCAGCATATGCTCTGCTGGTGAGGCTCCCCAGTCCGCAGGTCTCAGAGCGCTCAGACAAAGAAGGCTGGCTGACCGCAGGAAAAAGGGAAAGTACCCAGAGGTAAGAGACCCTGACAGGGGCCCTCTGAGGGCCCCTATCCTCACATCGGGGAGGGAGAAGACTTGGGGCCAGCTCCAAGGAAGAAAGGTGAGTCTTGTCTGCGGGAGGTGAGGCGGCTGGCTGGGGGTGCCCAGGGGTAGCTGAGCCAGGCTGAGGGGTGCAGGGGCGGGCTAAGGAGAACAGGAGCGGGGCTCACCGTGTCTTGAGCAGGACTCCTCAGCTGGGGGCTCCAAGCTTTCCTCTCTCCAGCAGGCCAGCCACCGGGCCTTATATAGCACAGCTGGAGGCTCAGCCTGTGGCAGTGCGCCACGGGAAGCAGCCGCGAAACCAGATCTGAGCCTGAGGAAGCTCAGCCTTCTCCTCCCCTCCCCACATCCCCAGCGGCTTCCAGAGGCCCGATTTCACTTCCAGACCCTCAGGGGAGATGCCGCAGGGCCTGGGGATGGGCCAGGTGGGCAGCTGCCCGGGGCTCCATAGGCCAGAGCAGAGGGATGGCTGGGGAGGCAGGGGCTCGGGCGGCAGCCCTGGGGAGGGGCCAAGGGGAATTCTACGTATGGGTGGTGCTTCATGGCTCGGGGTGGTATGCTCTTGCCTAAGCTTTGCCTGCTGATCCCCAACATTCCCTGGCCCCGGCCCACCTATGCAGAGAAAGAACTTTGCTGCCCTTAGCACATATCCCGAGTTCTCTTAGGCACACGGATCACCGGGCCTCTTAACTCAGGCTGCCTTGTCTGACTGGGCAACTACTTGGCCTCTGTGGCTCTGAGGGAGCACTAAGGGACCCTCCGAAGGGACAAGGGGCAGCGGGATTGTGGGGCCAGGAGGAGAGCAGTTTTCACCCCTTCCTGCCTTCATTTGGGTGCCTGCCCATACCCAATGGATCCGAGAGGAATCCCTGCATATGGATTCTCTGAGATCTTGCCAGATGCTCATATATGTGCGAGTGTGTGTGTGAGAGAGAGTGTGTGTGTGCGTGTGAGAGTACTTTGGGTATGGGCACTCACCAGCAATGAGCAGCCACCTTACACACAGGTGGCATAAGCAGCTGCTCGTGTTTCCAGACCTTAACTGCCTCCCCCCATGGCACGAGCTTGCCTCTCCTCACAGGCAGCAGTTCTATAATTGTAGCATGCATTAGAAACCCCTGGAGAGCTTGTGAAAGCACAGATGCTGGACCCCACACCCAGGCTTTCTGGTTCAGTAGATCTGAAGTGAGGCCTGAGACTTTGCATTTTTTCTTTTTTTTTTTTTTGGAGACTTTGCATTTCTGACAAGCTCCCAGGTGATTTTGATGGGCTGGTTTATGGACCACCCAAGGAGAGAGTCCTGGGTGGAGGCCCAAGATGGGGAGGGGGTGAACCAGGGAGACCACAGGAGTTGCCGAGGTTTGCCTTACATCCCAGGCTCAACGGGCCTAGGCTGGGCTTTCTGCCTTATGCGGGGCCTGGAGATGGAGGCCTGGCTCATGTGGCCCTCCACACCAGTGTCAGCTCCCTCTCTCCACACACTATCAACGAGCACCTGTTTGGAGCAGGCTCTAGGCTTGGTACTGGGAGGACATAGGGAGAAGACATCTCCATGATTTCAGAGGAAAAAGCCCTGTATGGAAATGATCCCACAGTGCTGCAGTGCACACTCATTCAGCTGTGCACACTTATTCAGCTGTGCGTGCGTGCTTGTGTGTGTTTGTGCCTTTCTCTATAGGTACGTGCCTGTGTGTATGCCATAAGTATGTATATATATATGGGCTTCCCTGGTGGCTCAGATGGTACAGAATCTGCCTGCAGTAGAGGAGACCTGGGTTTCGATCCCTGGGTCAGGAAGGTCCCCTGGAGGAGGGAATGGCCAGCCACTCCAGTATTCTTGCCTGGAGAATTCCATGGACAGAGGAGCCTTGCAGACTCCATGGGGCTGCAAAGAGTTGGACATGACTGAGTGACTAACACTCATTCACTCATATATATATATGTCTTTCTCCCCGTGTGAATGTGTGTGGGTGTGGGTGCGGGTGCAAGCAAGGGTTTAGGAGCTCTGCTTCCCTGAGCATCATCCTGGACAGGAGCTGTTGGGGGAGAAGCGGATGGGTGGAGGAAGGATATTGAGTAAAGACAGCCCGTAAGCAGATCCAAGGCACAGACCTGGTTTGCTTTTTCTCCTGGAGCCTCCTGGCCCCAAGATTTTGGCCCAGAGATTCTGTAGCTAGACCAAGTCTGGCCCAATTATAGTCAGAGCCAATCCATGAAGCAGCTTTAGTCTGAACTAAGTGAAGGCAAAGTGTGAACCAAGTGAAGACCCTAAGAACTCTGCTGGTCTGTGGACAAAAGCTGAGCCCCAATAGCCTGATCAGAGGCCAGGGGAAAACAGGAACTTGGGAGCCAAAAGTATAGTACTGGTTCTATTGCTAATTCTGATGTGTGATCTTGGACAAGTAATGACCCACATGACCCTGGACCTCCTACGCAGCAGGAGTTCAGACTGAGAGAGCTCTGAGGCCCCCACCAGCTCTTTCAAGGTTTGATAAGATGCTGATACTGAATACAACAGAAAGGAGGGAACAGAAGAAGTGACAGCTCCAAAGACTCTCACCAGAGGTTAGGCCAGAAGCCAGAGAAGTCACTTGACCACCAAGACTGGATGAGGAGAGCAAGGTAGACAGGAGAGGAAGGTGCAGTGGAGGTAAACCAGAGGACAAGGGGTCAAAGTCAGGGTAATCAACTTCTTTCCGGGGCCGCTACTCTATGGAACCGCAGAGTCCATGAAAGAGGTCTCCCCAGCCTCCCTTCTCCTTCTGTAGCAGGAGGCAGGAAGCCTAGGACTTGGCAAAGCATAGCCCTTTAGGCCATGATCCCTGCATAGGTGTCCTTGCTTGGTCAGGAACTCACATCTCAGGCCCCATTTACCCTGCCCCAAGGGTAGGGTGGTAGGGTAAATGTCATGGTTGGCACAGGGCTGAGCTAGAATCCCTGGGCTCTGCTAACAGCACTGCCATTGGTGTCCTTCTAGCTCATCTCCTCCCACCTCTCCCGTTGAAGAATCCTCTTCTGTCCCCAAGAGGGACTGAGCAGCTAACTGCACAGGGCTAGACTGGTAGAATCTGAGCCCACCCCCACCTCCTGCTCCCAGGATGCCTTTGAGGGAGAGGCTGCTCCCCTCCTTGGCCAGGACCTCAGGATAGTGAGGGCTTGGGAGGCGGCCACAGATCCAGACTGTCCAGAGCCTGGCCTAGCTGGGTCAGCGCCAACCGTGAGTGGCCACTTGGGGCTCCTTCAGGCCAGGCCAGTCTGCTGCAGCTCCAAGCCCTTGCCTGGAACACACGGGAAACCCATCAATCACCCCCACCCTTGTCCAGGGGATCGAGGGGCTTGGAATCCAGTTTAGCCAGGCCATCTGTGACCCAAGCCTATGGCCAGGGGTCTCCACCCTGCCGAGGGGAAAGAAACTTGGGAATACTGGGAGGGGTCTGACATCATGCTGGTGGC